CGTCAAGAGTCAATGCTCTAAATTTTTTTTTTTTTTTTTCCATCAAAAGCGGTTATTTCAACCTTTCTAATGTATTGGGCCTAGACCAGGTGTTGGGCCTGCATTAAGTATTGGGCTTGGAATGGGTATGGATCTAATAGCTTTTATTTCACCAATTCCCTTAATTTCTTGGGCTTACAAGCCTAAACCAAATTTTAGATAAAACACCCTTACATCCTTATTCCACAATCAAGAGTTAATCCCAGTTTTGCCCTCCATCATGAGTGCAAGCAGTAGGTAATGTGGATATATACAGCAGAATGTTTTTCAGGTGACGAGCAAAAACAGTCATGGGTTTTTATCATCACATAAACCACTTCCCGATGGACACATTTTGCTGCTTCAACTGATCTTTGTACACATAAATTGAGGCACTTTGTATAAAGTTAATTCGGAAAATTATTATTATTTTTAAGGAAAGAAAATTCAGATCATTAGAAATAGAAAACATATTAATTAGGAATGTAAGACAGAGACAGATTTTTCCAGGAAATAAAATTCAGATCATTTAAAAAAAGAAGAAGAAGGAAAACACATTAATTAGGACCGAAGATTTAGATTTTCATTTTTTCTTAATGGTTAGTGATTTAGACATGCACAATTGATGAATAATTTTTTTTTTTTTTTAACACATGCATGAACCGATTAAATCAAATTTAATAGAGGATGTAATTGAAATACAATTAACTTCAAGCATGTTTTTGTCCTCACAGAACTTTTAAAAAAGGGTACGTGTAATGGCAATACTAAAAGGGATCATATTGGTTTGTTATTTATAGATACTAAAAGGCTTATGTTGCGAAGATTAATAGATAAATCATCGGTTTATTTATAGATAAAAGTCCCAAAAACTCAAGCTATTAGAGCTTCTTGATTTGGTTTAAAAAATTAATCCCAACATAATGATTTTTTTAATTGAAAATTTTCACTTATGGTAAAGCAACGATGGATTCATTCCCTTTGTCATAGGATGCTTTATATCGTTTCACCAAAATCAGTGATGGGATAGGCTATTAACAGTCAATGTGGGATCAATAATATCATCAAAAGAGATCCTCATATTTTCTTTTATAAAACCTTGTGCTTTATTAATTCATAGTTAATTAAAACAAATTTCTAACCGGCACATTAATCTCTTTATAGAAAAATTCATCAATACAGTAGGACATATAACCAATTTTTTTATTGGTACATAGATATGATACTTCTAGCATTACAAAAAAAAAAAAAAATTCAATATAGGAAATTCTTGATGCAATAAACCAAATGCTGAATGAAGGGGTACAATAGAGAAAAATAGAAAAAAAAAGGACTTAAAAAGGGAAATAAAAATGCTGATCAGAGATAAAATTGGAAGTAGAGGAAAAGAGAAAATGACAAAAAAAAAAAAAAAAGACCCAAGAACTGAATTGATGTACTGGTTTGGGCCTTTGGGCCTATACTATTTCCTTTCTCCTTTTTCTTCTCTTTCGCCTGCCACACTTTCTTTCATGCTCTTTTTCAGTAAGCTACGCAGTTCTTTTTTTTTTTTTTTTTTCTTATCCCTCGAGGGAGTCTTTCTACGATTCCATCCTATCAAATGCTGCCTCTTTTTTATGCAACTAAATTATCATGCCCAAACCCCTGCCATTTCTTCAAAGGAAAAGGTATCTGTCACTGTATAGATATCAAACTAAATTGCTATAAATGCATGGATGTCATTCAAAAATTTGGTTGTAAGCTAAAAATACAAACTCGAATCTACCATTTAATGCCAGGAGACTTGTTGGATTTTAATGGTAATTTGTTTGGTAGCCAAAAAAGGGGACAAGAGGAATGCATCACAGTTTCCTATAGGCATGAATGGCCAAAAATTAATATCATAGGACTAGTAGGGTGCTTACCACCATACACGGAAGGTCCAACAATCCCATTAATGCTAGCTAGCTAGCTAGCTAAACCCTAACTTTCTTAGAGCATCTTCAATGCTCTTTTTATATTAAGATTTTTCTTTATAATAAAGAGTTTTGATCCAAATTTCATCTCCAATGCTCTATTTATCACAATCTTTATCTTTAAAATTAGTATAAAGAGTGTCTTTGGCTCTCCAATACTAGAGAGTCTAAATGACTATTTATCTTATATTTTATTAATGAAAATTACTATTTCCAATACCACTCAACCTCTTCACCAATAGTCTCTATGAGTTTTATAGATTTTGTCAAAATAAAGAGTTAAATAGAGAGTAGCATTAGAGAGGATATTGATCTTCTATCTATATAATTAATGATACTCTCTATTTACATTAAAAATGCTAATTAAAAGTAAAGAGCACCATTGGAGATGCTCTTAGAGCATCTCCAATACTCTCTTTATATTTAGATTTTTCTTTATAATAAAGAGGTTTGATCTAAATTTTATCTTCACTCGCTCTCTTTATCACAATCTTTATCTTTAAAATTGAGATACAGAGTGTCTTTGCCTCTCAAATATTAGAGAGTCCAAATGACTATTTATCTTATATTTTATTAATGAAAATTACTATTTTTTATGCTACTTAGCCTCTTCACTAATAGTCTCTTTGGGTTTTATAGATTTTGTTAAAATAAAGAGTTAAAGTAGAGAATAGCATTGAAGAGAACATTGATTTTCAATCTATATAATTAATGGTGTCCTCTATTTACGTTAAAAATGCTAGCTAAAAGTGGAGAGCACCATTGGAGATGCTCTTAGTAAATTAAATTTATTAGTTTAAGAGATATGCTTCACATTTTCGATATAACTATAAGTTCATTTCAAACAAGTCGGGAAGGAGATAAATTGGCCTTACCAAATAACTAGCTACTCGGATGATAAATAAAGAAATACTCTTATATTAGATTATATTCTTAGGCTATATAAAATTCGTGAAATTTTGATGGAAAAATTTCAATAAAACTTTCTAGTTGAGATAATACTTACATATTTTACTATATGGTTTGAATTAATTAATGCATATGTCATTCATGTGGCAAACCTATTATAACTGTATTAAAAGAATATATAGTTTCATTGTAGTTAAGCCTGCTATTGTGAATCCAACGATGCCATTTTTTTTTTATAAAAAAAAGTGAGCTTTTTAATTATTTTTGTTCACTTTTTTACATTTTGATCCTTCGAGTTCTTATTTTATAACAAATGGTCCCCTAACTTTTAATTATTATTACAAAAAGATCCATGTATTTTAATGGCTAGACTGTACTTCCAGTCCAGCCACATGTACCTAGTTGTCTCCGTACCCATACAAAAGGGCTTGGTGCCTTTTTTCTTTTTCTTTTCCCTTCTTTTATAGTTTTTTTTTTTTTTCTCAAGTATTTCTATCCCTTATCGGAGATAGGAGTAATCATATTAAAGATAAGAGCGATAAAGTTTAATTCTTTTTAATAAGCATGACTTCAAAATTTAAACTCGTATATTGACGTAAAATTCGCTCAAAGGAACCAATTCATTTACCACTAGGCCGATAACTTGTTAGTTTTTATTATTTATTATTTAATCATAATAAATTTTTTCTCCATAAGTAATGGTTACTTTTTCTTATTTTTGTATAGACTTATTAATTAAAATTAAACATTCTTCTAATAAAAATTGATTTAGCACCTTTTTTAATTTGATTTTAAAATAAATAATTAATTGCATTTTTTTTTATTGTTGATCAAAATAAAAAAATATTCATGTGTGTGTATTAAAAAATATTCCTAGAATAAATATATTTTTATTAAATGTTGCATAATAAATATTAAATTGAACAAACTTTCTTAATCAGTGTTATTTATTTTTATTTTATACCAAGATTTTTGAATTATTTAAAATATTAAAACATATTATATCGTAGACTTACCCATGGTGACGTGTGGGTATTATGCTAGTAATTACTAAACATTTTTTAGGGATGATCATTAAGAGCTTTCCAAACAAGTTGCATTCAAATTTTCTGCATGCTTCTTCGATAATGGATTAATTGTTTGTAATGTAACAAGGACAAGGAGTGGCTAGATAAAGGATGATGCAGGTTCGAATATTTAAATTAATAATGTACTTCAATCTTTTTTATTGTTAAAAAATATATTTTATATTAAATAGTTGGATCAAATATGAATAATATATAAAGTTGAATAGGGATCACCTATTATAAGACTTAATTTTTTTAGATAGAACTTAATTAATCTTAATTATCTAAATCTTTAGAATATGAGTCTCAAAAAGATCACGAAAGATCTTGAAGCATGAGAAGAAGTGTTAGAGTACGTATCTCATATGAAATAGTTAAACAACAAATGACTAATATATAAAGTTGTAGAGGAGCTTTATAACGTGATATGTTCTTAATTTTATATATTATTTATTTTAGTTTAATTATTTAATATAGAATATGGACCTGAAAACCAATAAATTTGGACTGCAGCATCTTCATACTTGATTAAGAACGTGGTAGGCTCATCTCTAATGTAGAATAAGGAAATGACATGGACAGCAACCAAATCTGCTGTTGTCTGGATCTATCAAAGAGTTGTAAGTGTATTTATTATAGGATAAGAACCTGAAGTTACTTAGAAAAACGTAAGTACAAATTTTTGCAGTTCTGCTCTATTTTCCTTTAAAAGTCATAGTTGTGTGCTATTCACTAATTTGTGAATGATCTAACTTGACATGACATGACATGTTTGATGCTAAATAGGTTCAAAGTAAGTTTTTTGGTGGATAACATGGTTTAAATTTGGCCATTGCTTTGGTTGCCAAAAATGGAAAGAGAGAAATCATCATGCACACTGCAACCTTTGCCCTTGAAATTTTGCACTGAGATTGCCTAGTTTGAATCATGGTGGCCATACCAAGAATTGATTATCCATTCATTCTGTGGTTCTGTTGTGCTTGCTAATGTTTATAAGAAGGCTTGTTTGCCACTTGTATCTTTGAACCAAGAGAACAGATTTACATCTCTAATGGCTATCCGTCACTGCTTCGACAAAGATGTTAACCAGGTACTTCCCATTTTCTTTTCTGTATTGCAACATTTCTTGTGACAGCGAAAACTCCTTGGCAAAATTCCAAGTGTGAGCAAAAAACAAGAAATTCAAGATACCAGTAGGATGAAGTTCCCTTCATGTTACTCTTATTCCGATTTTTCATTACATTGCTCTTTCCGTTTTAGCATATCATCAACAAAATAAACGAAATTATTATGTCAAATGTGTCCTTACTCTCTCCGTATTTGTATCATCTAGGTGCTGTTTGAAGGAAATTCATGTGTGAAGAAGTTGATATTGAACAGACCAGAGAAGTTAAACAGCCTCAGCTATCACATGGTAGGTTTAAATCGATTGTTCTAATTGCTTATGAATCAAATGTGTCCTTTTTTTTCCCCCTTTTGTTTCTGGCTTCTGAAGTCTGTTCCTGCAAGAAAGAAATCATCAATTGGCCTTTTTTTTTTTTTTTTTTTTTCTTTTGTCATTCTAAACCATCAAAAAGCTTTCTCACTTTTTGAGATTTGGAGAGCCTCTTTATTTATCATTTGCAATTTCACCAGATTGTTTGACAAGTTTTATCAGTGTATCAAAGAAAAGCGTGCATTTTCTTTCTTTCTTATTCTCTCTTTCGTTTTTACGAAGAATGAGAAACTTTATTAAATGAAATTGGGAAAGGTTACAGAGAGATACAAAGTTTCTCTCAAGCTTAAAAATGTTAACTAGGGTAACAAAACACATTTGTGAATAATGTTGGAAAATGAATCAAGCCAAAAAAAGAAATTCTAAGAAAAAAGATGATCATCAAATACAACAAAAGCACAGCACGCTAGCGATTGCGAGAAATTAGAGGAAATCGAAAGGGAAACAATCCGATCAAGTCAAACAGAAAACAATATTAAATTAAATTAAATTACCTATAAAGACAGACCTTGACTCCGCAAAGAAAAGCGTAGAGATGAAATTGAGAGATAGATTTTGGTTCAACGATTAGGGTTCTGAAAATTGGGGTGAGAGTTTTGATACGAAGAAGTAGAAAAATAAACAAATAAGAGCGTATAATTGGTGTTTGGCCAAAGGGTTAACAAAAGGCCTAAAACTAGAAGAGAAAGAGGGAGGGAGGGTCAGGGTTTCTGACACAGGGGTCGGTGATGGGGACGAGAACCGTCCACGTGGCCCATTCGTCAGCCGTTACGTGTACCCTGTTAGACTTCCTGTCGTCAACGCTCATCTTCTGGGCCCATTTTGGCATTTTGGCATTTTGCAATTTCAGTCCAATTAGATCTCTTTTCATTTTTTTTTTTAAGAATTCCAATAAGATTCGAATTATCTTAATAAACGAGAATGATTTCTTCTAATCTAAATTTACAATTTGATGAAATTACTCATTCATACCACTTTTTTTTCTTGAGCAATGGATGCTCTCAAAATTCCATCCAATTTGGAAAGGTGGTTCGACTATTATGTTTACTCCAAAACTATTTTAAAAGTTTTTATTAGGTTTTTATTCAGCTACAAATATTAAAATACTATCTCTATTTATAGCGTGAATAATTAAAATTATTAAAAAAAAAAAAAAAAACACGCTTACAGACCTATACACATGGCCTAAGATTCATGTGAACGCTTTTCCAACCTGTGTGCAATACACATTTTTCTTTTTACTTTCAGTGTCAACTCTCTTGATCAGTAAACCTGCTTAAAAAAAAAAAAAACATGATCAATAACTCCTATTTTATTTTGTGGACAGGTCTATAAAATGATCAAGGAGTTAAAAGCATATGAGGCTGATCCTAAAGTCAAAGTTGTGATATTGAAGGTAAAAAGGATGTGCTAGAATTTTAAACCTATAATTAAGTTTTATATATATATGAAGTCAAAGATTATATTATAGGCATAAACCAGCAAGTCGCTGGTAAGGAAAAAGTTACAACCAAGCTAAGTAGTCATTAGATCTCTATAGATTAGACTTAGCTAGAGAGTCAGCTACATACTTCTTTTTCTTTGAATATGAGAGAAAGAAACAGATGGTTGGACATTAAAAGATGATTCTAGCCTATATTATTCATTTATTTGTCTCTGCGGATGCCATTATCATCTAACTCAGACATCATATTCAACAACATTCATGCAGGGAAATGGGAAGGCATTTTGTGCTGGTGGTGATATTTTGGCAGCATATACTTGTATGGTTGCAGGTAAAAATCATCTTCCAGGAAAGTTTGAAGTAATAGGAAAATGTTTGATGCCATTAATGTTCATCTTCTTCGATGAAGCAGGGCATTGGAGTAATGGGACAAATTATTACAAGAGACTATTGACGTTGGACTACTTAGTTGCAACATGCAGAAAGCCTGTGGTATACAAGTTATTTGGCACAATCATTATGCAAAATGGCAATGTCAATAGTATCATATATTTCTTCACTCTTGTCATTTTCATTTGATTTTAATATAAGCAATTGGATACTTGAAGGTTGCAATTATTGACGGAATTGTGATGGGTGGTGGTGCTGGTCTATCCATGCAGGGAACTTTCAAGATTGTCACTGAAAATACTGTATGTTTCTGCTTCACGTACTGTTTCATTTTGATTCCTTTGTCAATTTAGAGAGTAGATTTGGCTCAGTGATATTTTTGAGAGAATTTGAAAGCAGTGAACGAAATGTTTGATGGTCTTCTATGGATGCGCAAAAACATCCTGCAAAGACTTTGCCTTATGTCAGGAACAGTCTCATTTGTCTTAAAACATACTACTGGATCATGTTTTCGGTTTTAAGATGTACTCAAAACATGAGGATAATCAGATTAAGAGTTTGAAGTGCAACAATTAATAATTACTACTACTTCCATTATTCTGGGGGAGGTTGTTTTTTATTGTTTCGGAGAATAATTTGTTATAGGATAGTTTAATCTGTCAATAGGCATATCAGATAAATCAGGGTGCTGATGGTAACAGACTGGATAGAGGAGGCTGCATGTAATTTGGTTGAGGAACCTTCAATAATGCAGCATGATTTTTGCATTTTGCTTCAGAAGGACTATTTTCATGAATAAATGTTTCCTCTGTTGTTCAAAAATAGTGGATAGCTAACGGTGCTTGATTGTTACATTTCCTTGCATAGGTGTTCGCTATGCCAGAAGCAGCAATAGGACATTTTACTGATGTTGGGGCATCATATTTCCTTTCCAGGCTCCCTGGAAGTTTTGGTAACTAGCTATTTCATACTCTCATCTACTTTAATAGTAGTTTGGTACGAGTTTCTTGCTTTCCCATCTTTCCTATGAATGTATACCTATGAATATTTCATGAAAAATCTTTTTTCTGATTCTTTTCATTAGCATGCTAATTTAGTCTTGAAGATTCTTTATTGTATTCATTCTAATTCATTTAAAATGTTATATAGGTGAATTTTTGGGAGTTACTGGAGCTAAGATTAAAGGAGAAGAAATGATTGAATGTGGCCTTGCAACTCATTTTATCCTCTCAAAGGTAATGGCTTTTAGAGTTGTGCTCAGTTTAATTTACCTTCAGAAGGTTATACAGAGAAGCAACTGAAAACAGGATATAATTTAAATAACTAGTTGCCTCACAGGATTTTCAGAAATCTCTTGATCTGCACAAGAAATCTTCTCCATCATCCAGGGAATCCTCATTTCTCGAATCCATTTCCCAGACAAGAGCCACTTAGCATTTTAATGAATGAACCCAGTTCGCATTGCAATGATATTTATATGATTGTATATGTCCTTCTTATATACCATCAGAGGATTGCGTAATTGCAATTTTTTTTTTTAACTGTAGGACCTCCATTTGTTGGAAACTGCGCTAGATGAAGTAACTTCTTCTGATACAAAAACAATTTCTCAGATCATCAGCAAATTTATGCACAAACCAAATGTGAAACAGCATGGTGTTTTTAGCAGGTATTGGTAACGTTCAGGTTCCTCAAAAATTTGTACTGCCGGTATCAATATCTACTAGTGTCTGTTAACATACATACTGAATTTGAAAATTCAATGATTAAATAGATTGGAGATCGTGAACAAATGTTTCTCGAGAACCACAGTTGAAGAAATACTATCATCACTGGTAAGCATATTGCAGAAGCACCTTGTTTTCTCATCTAACTTAGTGTAGAAAGCCTCCATTAGGAATGCGAGCAATATGATACTATTACTACTTGGATTGTTTAGGAGAGTGAGGCAGAAAACAGAGCAGAAAAGTGGATTGTTGAGGCAATCAACAGGATGAAGTCAGCCTGTCCGACGAGCCTCAAAATTTCCCTCAGATCGGTATGAGCGAGTTTAAGGCATTTCTGATCTTTTAACCAAGTTAATATTTGTTTCAGTTACAATTCAAGGAGTGCTCTTTTTTTTTCGGTAATATCCGGGAATAACTTTTCGTGATTAGATTAGAGAGGGCCGCAGGCAAGGACTTGAGCAGTGCCTCGTCCGTGAATGTAGTATTTTTTGCCACATTGGGAGAAGAACAGTTAGCGATGATTTTTATGAGGTAATAACTGGAATGATAAGAACATAACTACAAATATGAACATAATGCAATGACTATTAGTCTCTAATTATATGTTTTCTTGCAGGGAATAAGGGCCATGTTAGCGGACAAAGACAGGAAACCCAAGGTAATTTTCTTATCTACTATGTTTGATATGTTTTGTTATTTATCACATGATGCAATGTAATTTTGTTTCTTGTTTTTAACAGTGGGAGCCTGCAAAATTAGAGCTTGTGACTGATGAAATGGTGCATCGATATTTCTCCAGAGTTGATGAAGACGACTGGGAACCCCTTAAACTTCCTGCCAGATCATCTAACTTAGTTGATACTATGAAGCCGAAACTTTGAAACTAGAACAACCAAAGTACTATCGATTGGTTGTCTATCTACATGAGCAAGGTTGATAAAGAGTCCTTGCTTAGGTTAAGACTCAGGTTCCTGTCTTAGCTTATTATTAAGAATAAAGCTAAAAGATTTGTGGTATTGAAGAACTCTATATTGAATTGAATCCGTCTATGTTATTCAATGAAATCAATGTTTTATGCAATGAAAGACAGTTTTCAATACAAGAAGAAAAGGAAAAAGACTTATTGAAAGTGACAGATTCTAAATATGGAAGATTTCCCTCTTTCTGTTCTTCCCTTTTTCTTTTCCTTTTCTTGAATACTAATTAATTGGGAAGATCAGCAGGTTAATTTATTAAGACATAGGATTTCCTTTTCTATGCATCTCCCCGGATCTTGGTGCCTAATATGGCTGACTCCCATGGTTCCTCGGCAAAGAAAACTTGAATGTTGTGCCAAAATAATGAAATATTATTGGCGAAATTTCACATTTTGCATTTCATTTGATTCTCACTGTCTTACAAAACCATCCTGATGGGTGCTTTAGTATGGTATAATGAAAAGGCAACAGAATTAGTGGCCTTCAACCTTTTGTCTGTTGATTTTATTTTCAGAAAAAAGAGGCACAAATAAATAAAACGGACTAATGAATAAAATTTGGAGTCATTGGGCCAATGGCTTTTCTCTGTTAATAAACTAGCTGGTGTGCCTGTATGCGGAAATGGCAATGGTTCAGATATCAGATCCATTCATTCAGTTCGTCATTCTATCTATTAAAAAAATACATTGCCTATAGCTATTTAGAAATTACTCCCTAAACTTATATCTGTTGGTCCCGCCCACTATTTCCATGTTTTAAGAAGGAATAAATGCCATGATTCACTCCTTGATTTAATGAGGAATAGATTTTGGAAGCTTGAGGTTTCAGCCCCGAATAAGAACCAAAAATTAAGAATTAATTTTTGGAAGGCAATTGCAATCATTTTGGTGAAATTGACTTGTGCGGTAAAGATTTTTTCTCGCCCTTAAATTTTATTTGATCTACCTTTTAAGTCCTTGTGCTAGAAATTACTACAAGATGGAGGTAAAGGTTGGTAAGATGATCTAACTCAATGGCTTAAAATACGAAATATGAAAAAACAAGATGACAAATCTCCTATACATAACGAAGTTGCATTTAGTGGTGTTTGCTACAACAAAACCCCGAAGATAAAACTGATAAGGACTGAAAGTTTGAGCACATGCAAGCGTGTGGCTTTATCCAACAGTTTGTTGAAGAAAACATGTACAATCACGTTAGTGATAAAACCCATGCTTGAATGTTTATGGAACAAGCTTAAGGAGTCGTATGAATCCAAAATTGATAACAAACAATTATTTTATCCAACAAAGTTAATTCAGGTGAAATACTGAAAAGGTACATCTGTGGCAGATCACTTGAACAAAATTCAAGGGATAGTGGATCAAATTGTTAGGTATGGGCATAAAGTTTGATAACGAAGCGCTTGTTCTTATGGTGCTTGCCTCTTTCCTATAGTCTTAAGGACCCTAATGATTTCAATTACTACATCTGCTCTAAATGGTGTGGTGACCATGGAACCTATCAAAAGCAGTGTTCTAAACGAAGAGATGAGACAGAGATCAAAAGGTTCCTCTTCATCACGATTAGATATCCTAGTTACAGATTTCAGGAGGAGAAGCCAAAGTAGAGATACAAAGCACATGGACAAGATCAGAGGAAGATCTAACAAATATGCCAATGTTGAGTGCCACTACTGCAAAAACAAAGGGCACATCAAAAGATTTTGCTAGAAATACAAAAGAGATCAAGAGTAGAATAAAGGCACAAACAAGAAGAAACGTAATGGCAATGATGACGAACGAGTAGCTGCCACTACTAAGGCATTCCTCATTGTATGCAAGGATGATGCTATCAATTTTGCATCCTAAGAAACATGTTGGGTGGTTGAAAATGGTGCTTCCATTCATTTCACATCATGAAAGATTTCTTCTCATCTTACACACTAAGAGACTTTCGTGTTGTAAAGATGGGAAACGACAACTCAGTAAAAATTGTTAGCAAGTGAGATGTTTGCTTGGAAATGGAGAATGGCGTTAGGCTAGTCTTAAAAGACATCAGGCATGTCCCCAATATTAGCTTGAATTTGATCTCTACAAGCAAACTTGGTGATGATGGATTCTGTAACACTTTCACCAATGGCCAGTGGAAACTCACCAAAAGTTCTCCGGTAATGGCTAGAGGTAAAAAGTGTTCAACATAATATTTGATGTAGGCAAAGCTCTCTAAAGAGATGGTGAATGTTGTGGAGAAAGACAATAGAATGGAATTATGGCATAAAAGGCTCAACAATATGAGTGAGAAAGGGAGGCTAAACAGAATGTCCTAGCTTGGATAGATAAAGTACTCTTGAAGAGGTATACAGACTGTCTATTGCTTTCAAAAGTGCCCCTCCTTCTAGAATGCAATAGTGTTGGATCTAGTACACTTAAACTTATGTGGTCCAATGACAACAAAGTCACTTAGTGGTGCTCAATACTTTGTAACTTTTATTGATGATCATTCCAGAAAGATGTGGGTCTACACCTTAAAGATGAAAGCTTAGGTGTTAGACGTGCTTAAAAAGCATCAAGCCTCAGTTGAGAGACAGGCTGGGAAGAGTTTGAAGTGCATCCGGATAGACAATGACAGCGAATACATTGGTCCATTTGAAGTCTATTGGAAAAAGAAGGGAATTTGACATCAAACAACACCTCCAAAGACAACATAGTTAAATGGCTTAGCAGAGAGAATGAAAATGACTTTGATGAAGTGAGTCAGAAGTCTACTCTCGCATGCAAAGCTACCTAAGATATTTTAGGTTGAGGCTTTAAGTACAACTGTTCATGTATTAAATCTCTCACTATTTGTTCCTTTATAGTTTGATGTTCCAAAGAGAGTATGGTCAAAAAAGAATGTTTCCTATGATCATTCATGGGTGTTCGGGTTCAAGGCGTTTATCCACATTTCGAAGGATGAGAGGTCAAAGTTTGATGTCAAGACACAATAATCTGTATTCATTGGCTATGGCTAAGATAAATTTGGCTATAGATTCTATGATACAGTCCAACAAAAACTTGTAAGAAGCTGTGATAAAGTATTTGTTAAAGACCAAACTATTGAGGACATTGACAAAGTCGAGAAGACTTTCTCTAGCTCTAATGTTGATTCAACAGACCTGAAGTTAGTCACAATGGTGCCAAAGTAAGTTAGATATGAAATTCAAAATAATTTACCAAATACAAGCAATACAGATGCTCTTGCATAGATTGAAGATAATAATGGTGTTCAGAATCAACCACCAGCAATAACAGATTCTCCAATCCTATTGAGGAGATCTACTAGAGATAGACAACTTTCTACTAGATACTTTAATGATCAGTATGTGATGTTGACTGACGAGGGAGAACCAGAAAGCTTTAAAGAAGCTATGAAAGATTAACGAAAGCAGAAATGGATCGATGCCATATAGGAAGAGATCAAGTCCTTGAATGAGAACAAAAAATCAGCTAGTAAAGTTGCCAAAAGGAGAAATTAGAGCTTTGAAGAATAAGTAGGAGTTTAGGGCGAAGCATGAACAAAACAACCCAGTTCCAAGATTTAAAACTAAATTGGTTGTTGAAGGATTCAAACAAAGGCAAGGTATTGACTTTGAAGAAACTTTTTCTCCAATGGAAAAGATGGCATGCAATCGTACAACATTGGGCTTAGTAGCAAGCCTTGAATTGGAGGTTAAGCAATGGATGTAAAGACAACCTTCCTTCTTGGGGACTTAGAGGAGGGGATATAAATGGAACGTCCATAAGGTTTCAGAGGAAAAAGAAAAGAAGACTATGTCTATAAATAATAATAATAATAAAAAGTCTCTATGCATTGAAACAGGCACTAAGACAATGGTATAAAAAGTTTGAGTCTGTTATAGGAGAGCAAGACTATGAGAAGACTACTTCTGACCATTGTGTTTTAATGTTAAACTTTTATGATGATGATTTGATTATTCTTTTGCTCTATGTGGATGAAATGTTAATTATTGGCAAGAATGCTTCTCGAATTGATAAGTTGAAGAAACAGTTGAGTAAGTCTTTCAACATCAAAAACTTAGGAACAACAAAGCAGATCCTTGGCATACAGATCTTTCAAGACAAAAATGCTAAGAAGTTGTGGTTTTCACAAGAAAAATACATTGAGAAAGTACTTAAAATTTTTTGTAAGCTACAAAACTTTTTTCCCCTCCTTTTTCTCAATGTATACCTTGAGAAAGGCCTTACAGATACAAAGATCATTCTAGTTAACTCTGGCTGAATGTTAAATGCAAATATGCACTATTTAAACCAAGACTAAACAAGCTGAATCAGGGATGGAAGAAATTGGGTGAATTGTGAATGAAAATTCCATCTTCATTTAAAGCCCATTATACCTTTATTCAGTCCTCATCCAAAGCCCATTATACCTTTATGAAATACCAAGCCCAAAAGACCAAAACTTATTGCCTTGAAGACATGCCTTTTCTAAAATTCTTTTCCTTAAAAATTCAGCTGAGATTTTCTTTTTTCCTCGAGCAAATCTTTCCTCATCAGGTCTGAGAAATCCCGGACACAATCCTCCCATATTTAGTCAAGATCCCCCTTAATCCCACAATTATGGAGTTTTGGCTTTTTCCTTCCTTTTAAGCTCTGATAAAAAATGAGGTGAATCCCGATTAGATTTTTGTTCACCTAATAATATCATCAAATAATCCCAATCATTAATTTTAGGTTCAACAGTAATGATGTTCTTGAGCTAGCTTTTGTGCGCTTCGAGACTAATCTTTCCATGAGCTTAGCTAAAGAGCACTTTTCAACACACGAATTTCAATATTTTAAAAATAAATTTTTAAGAGTATTTTGAACACGACCTATAAATCAACGCTTGTTATCAGCGGTCTATCATCTTGTGGTTCCTAACCATCAATTAAAAACTAATAATTAGAATTTCGTTAATATGATATATGATGTAGCTAATTTGCTTGATTAATTTCTCTTAAAGCAATATTTTTTCCCGGATAAAGTCAAATTTTTATATTTGATGAGTTAAAGATAACTAAGGCAATAACTAACCATGCCATATTTTTTTTAAAAAAAAAAAAAGATCCAACTTAATAATTTTACTAATTTTGATGTAATTTTATTACTTTTCATATTTTTCATATAAGCTTTTGTTTATCTATTTTAAAACATTTTTATAGTTTTGATAGTCAAAATAAAATGGTTATAAGGTACCATATAGGAAACTTATTTTATATTATTTAAAGTTTTAAATGATGTATAAATATACATAATGTAAAAACAGAATTAACCTATTTTTTTTAAGAATTATATCAATATTTTAGTCTATTTCTTAATTAGAAATAGAATTACATATACTTCCTAGTGTAATGTTTATTATACATTGAATGAATGAACCAATTTAATGGGTTTCCAAAGTTTTTAAATAACAGTAAGAAAAAAAAAGTTTTTAAGGGGATTTACACATTATAAGATATCTTTTTTCTTTTTCTTTTTTTTAATAAGAAATGGCTAAAAATGGGAATAATATCTGGGTATTATCGATTAGATTTCATATATAATTGTTTATTTCTGTATAAGTAGGACCATGATTTTCATTTGAAACCATTCCTACTTACTTTTTGGTATATTAGATTTTGTCAAAGTAACAGAATGGAAGGAAGTCTTCAATTTGCTCAGAAGCTACTGCTTCTTCTTCTTCTGGTGCTCATCTTCACATTCATGGTGTCTGCCATGGGAGCTAATCCTCAACAGTTCAACTGCCCTTGTCCTCGCTTTCCTGACTGCTGTCATGCAGAAGCAAACAATTGATTTCTCCTTTTTTCTTGCATTCTTTCATATCTATGGAAGAATAATAGGAAAAAAGAAAATCAACAATAAATAAATGGTGGAAGGGAGTTTTTTTCTTTTTGGTAATGTGGAAGGGAGGTTGTATATGCCATAGAGTGTATATGATAACTCCCTTCTTTTCCTTTAAATAAAATAAGTTCCAGTGTTGTGGACCTGTAGCTGTGATCATGGCAACATTTTCTTTTATCATGTTCGTCACCTTTATTTAGTTTTGTGCTTTATATATATATATATATAAATCCACACCTGTTCTTACAAAATAGGTCAGTTTTTTTAATCTTTTCTTTAAAAAAAAAAAAGCCTCTAATAATCTTTATATTTCGAATTAGTTTTTAATCTATCATTTTATTTAAAATTTTTGACCAAATTAAATATATGATTTACATATTATATGTGATTTAATAAACATATATTTGTTATTTGATATAGGTGATCTATATCTACTAATATAAATTAATTTTTAAAAAATTGATCAAAAATTTTGATAAAAAAATAAATTAGAAACCAGCTCAAAATATAAGAAAAGATTAAAAGTGGTTTTTTTTTTTTTTTTTTTTTAGAAACAGGTTGAAAAACTGTAAAGAGAGGCATATTAACCCTAGATATAATCATTCGCATTGTAAAGAGAATGGTGGGCATTCCCTGAGGCAGTGGTAGAGGCTTCCGTCTTTAGCAATTTACAACTTTCGGATTTTGAAGCGGTTGAGGATGGTGATTTCCAAGTTTTCATCTTAAGTGTCTGCTGCAATGGAACGCTTTACTTCATCAATGGAGGGTTTTCTTCGTTCTCCTTCCTAAATACGGAAGATTTTTTTTTATATATATATAATCGATGATTAGATTGAAGCAACTAGCAACAGGGATTACAACCAAGTTAAGAAGTCATTAGACTTATACAGACCAGACTTAGCCAAAGAATTAGCAACCTATATAGTTTCTTTCCCTAAGAACATGAGAGAAAGTGACAGATTCTAAATACGGAAGATTTCCCTCTTTCAGTTCTTCCCTTTTTCTTTATCTTGAATACTAATTAATTGGGAACATCTGCAGGTTAATTAATTAAGAAATATGATTTCTTTTTCCATGATCTCCCCGGATCTTGGTGCCAAAATAATGAAATATTATTGGCGAAATTTCGCATTTTGCATTTCAGTTGCTTTCTCTTGCTGCACAGGGAAGAGAACCTGAATCCTAACACTCTTAAGAACTTAAGACACGCTGATCTTGTCAACTAACTTTCTCAGGTCATTGCGTCTATTGATTTTCAAATAGTTTCTGGGAAGCCAAACAGAAGATAGTGAGCAACAGAGCTTCCTAAACTTTCAATTAAATTGTGTTTTTGCATACAAAATATTAAAGAATTAATGGAGTCAAGAAGTCCCTATCAACTGATTTCTTTTCAGATTGAATTTTCAATTGCGTAAACAATCACCGATGCCCACAAACCATAGGCTTTAATGATAGATAAAACAAATCCCAAAGTCTCCAAAACAGTCAAGCTATCAAAATTCGAAGGAACTACATGTTCTCTCTGGAATCTGGATTAGTACTTCCTTGCTTTTCTTGTAAGAAATCAATCACACCAAGTTAAAGCTGAAGGATTGTCATAAATACAACGACGTAAGCAAATTAAAGAACTAAAGAATTCAGTTAAATAGCAACAATAAAATTAATAAGAACTTACAGAAAAAACAATCCAGAAGAGGAAAAAAATACAGAAAACGAGGAACAAATCTTAATTAGTAGTTTTGCATTGACATTCTCAGAGATCATATCAGAATGTAGGATTACAGAAGTACACATATCCTTGAACTTTAACAGTGTAAAAGCTTGAACCAATAAGATGTAAAATAATTAAAGCCAGCTGCATTCATCAGTATAATGAATCGTGGAACCAAATCATTGCCCAGGAACATTCCTGTAGAATGTAAACTTCAACGGGTTTCTTTGTAGTGAAGTTCATCTCTTGTAGTGTATATCAGTCTTTCACCTTCCAAGTGATTTAATCGATTCCCTGCCAAAGACAAATTAAGAGACGATAAATAATAGAATTACTTGATACCGGCAGAGAGCAAGAGACAGAGGAAGGGGATGAGGGATGGTGGCAAGAGATTACTTGATGTTCTCCATGGGAAGTTTCATGTTACAGGCCCAACTCTCATGGACAACCAGCTCCAGCAATCAGTCCAACAATATCCCTCGGCCTAGCCCATCAACTGGAGGCAGCAAGAGAAGTGCACGCACCATCACCAAACCGTAGAAAATATTTTTATTCTCAAATTTCTCAGCCTTGTTTAAAAAAGAAAATTAGATTTCTTATTTCAATACATACAAGCTGAGGACGGTTGAGGGAGCTGAAACTACAATCAAAGCACAAGCTAAGGACAGAAATTATGATTGGTTGTTGGGACAGTTGGAGGAGCGGAAACGAGGGCAAGGAATTCAATTTCACACCTACCAATTTGATACACGTAGATTTTTTAGGTTAAGACTTGGTCCAAAAAAACAAGGTGGTACGTTTAGACTTTACTCGAGCATTTAATGAAAGGATAAGACCTCTCAATCAAAAGAAGAAGACGAGAAAATTAAAGGCTATAAGCACATTAGAGGTGAAAGCAGTATTCGATAATATCTTTAGCTAAATCCTTTATTTATATATAATTATTTTGATGCTTAGCACTACGGTCTTCAGTGTGATTTCATCCACCTCTTAAACCTTTTTAACCTTTTTGGGTAATTTCAGAATTTTTCAAGTACTTGACATCAAAATATTTCTAAACATCATGGGTTTCCTATCATTTGGTACGCTTTTCATGGTGTTCGGATCCTTCACATCAACCCCTTCAATCAAAAGGTTACGCAATCCTTCGCGGTTTCTAATTTTTTCTTTTTCACTTCCGAATGTAGAATCCAATTCAGGTATCCATGGCTTAACAATTGCTGGACCAAGGGCTTCCGTCATCCCATAACCGTGATCCACACTAAATCCCAATCCTTCATCCCGGAACGATTACATACAAATAAAGGATCTAGCTAAAGATATTATCATTTCAGGAGGAGAGGCTATAAGCACAATAGAGGTGGAAGCAGTATTTGATGATATCTTTAGCTCGGTCCTTCATTTATATGTAACCGTTTTGATGCCTAACACTAAGGTCTCTTGTGTGATTCCATCCACCCCTAAAAACTTTTTGGGTAATTTTAGAATTTTTCAGGTACCCTGACATCAAAATGTTTCTAAACATCAATTCCCCAATAGGTTTCCTATCATTCGGTATGCTTTCCATGGTGTTCGGATCCTTCACATCAACGCCTTCAATCAAAAGGTTATGCAATCCTTTGCGGTTTCTAATTTTTTCTTTTTCACTTCCGAATGTAGAATCCAATTCAGGTTTCCATGGCTTAACAATTGCTGGACCAAGGGCTTCCGTCATCCCATAACCGTGATCCACACTAAATCCTAATCCTTCATCTCATAACGATTACATACAAATAAAGGATCTAGCTAAAGATATTATCATTTCAGGAGGAGAGGCTATAAGCACAATAGAGGTGGAAGTAGTATTTGATGATATCTTTAGCTCGGTACTTCATTTATATGTAACCGTTTTGATGCCTAACACTAAGGTCTCTTGTGTGATTCCATCCACCCCTAAAAGCTTTTTGGGTAATTTCAGAATTTTTCAGGTACCCTGACATCAAAATGTTTCTAAACATCAATTCCCCAATGGGTTTCCCATCATTCGGTATGCTTTCCATGGTGTTTGGATCCTTCACATCAACGCCTTCAATCAAAAGGTTATGCAATCCTTTGCGGTTTCTAATTTTTTTCTTTTTCACTTCCGAATGTAGAATCCAATTCAGGTTTCCATGGCTTAACAATTGCTGGACCAAGGGCTTCCGTCATCCCATAACCATGATCCACACTAAATCCCAATCCTTCATCCCATAACGGTTACATAAAATAAAAGATCTAACTAAAGATATTATCATGTCAGGAGGAGAGGCTATAAGCACAATAAAAGTGGAAACAGTATTTGATAATATCTTTAGCTCGGTACTTCATTTGAAAATGAACCGTAATAACATTAACACTGCATGGACGTGGACTTTGTTGACTAGCTGGTGCATTTGCAATGGTGCTCAAAATAGCTGGGGGACCACAGCAGTGAGTTACCTTGTGAAGTGATATTGCATCAAATATGATTTCTGCTGAGACATTTCCAAGGCAGAGATTGGTAGCTAGGGAGCCCGGCCAGTATCTTTATTAATTCCACCGCTACACTGAAGAGCACACCTTCAGCCATTTTTTTCTTAGTGAGGAGAAAAAGAGTGGGTGGAGGGAGACACAAAAAAGGGAAGAAAAAAGAAAAGAGTGACAAGATGGTGTTAGGGGTGTTTACTTGCTTTGAACGGTGATGACTGGTTTGAAGGCTAGAAAGAAGGTTTATGTTGGCGTGAAGAGCATGAACAAAACCATGGGCATCATTTATAGGTAGACAGATTCCAAAATCTCCCAAACACTCAAAGCTATTGCAGTACTCTCGCCATCTCCAGATCCCTTCACTTCTCTGCACTCAAGCCAGTAATTCCTTTCTTTGCTTTAGAAAAATCAACCACTTCAAATTCTTTTTTCCTTACTTTATTCTAAAGATCACATACTACAGGGCCATTTCCATCTACAGGTATCTAGGTCTTGGAGTCATACTGAAAAAGCAAAGATAAAAGTGCAAGCGATCTTACAAATTACAACTTCTCCCAATCACCAAAAGCTATCAGAGGGCCTACATCTCCAAATGCCTTAATTGGTACTCACTCAACTGGTTTTTTATTTTTTATTTTTTCCTTTCCTTTAGAAAATCTATCAGACCAGAACTTACGTTGTTCCTCGTTTTATTCTAAAAATAGGTTTGCTGAAAATGGTCGGTTTTAGTAATGGTAGCGGATCCGCCATACAAAGATATTAATGAGCATATGTTTTGAGGAGGTACAGTAAAGAAGGGTTTGACGAGGTGAGTGAATGGCTTATAAAAGAAGATTGGAACTTGCAATGGTAAACAAAGGGTAAACCAGCAAGTAGCAAGAAGATAAACATATTAATATTGGATAAGAACAAACAATTAATTTTCTTACACATTTAATTCCCTTGTGTCTAAAAATAGTTATTTTCTAATTGTTATAAAGTTGTAATGAAATTCATATCAGTCAATCAATAATGAATAAAATTATTTTTTCAACGATCTTAGTTTTTAATCATTAAAAATTAGTCACTAATTTTAATTAATTTTCCAATGTAGATTTTATTATTTTTTTCCCTCCAACCATGTTTGGAACTAAGTGACTATAATTGTTTGACAATTTATTATTGGCAACATTAACAAATATGTATTGACATTAGTCTTCCAAGCTTATTTTTTTATTTGAAAAATTTTCATTATTTTTTCAGAATTGAATATTTTCATATGGGATAAAATCACTAAACGTCTCCCTACTTCAATTTTTAGACATATTAACCCCTTTACTTTATTTTAGTCTATAACAAAATATATATATATATATATTAGATAAATTATTATATAATTTAGAACACACACGTTCAGATCCCTGCACTTTGATGTTGTCTAAGGTGGTAACAAATAAATATCTACAGGCTGTTCGGTTAAGATTCGAAAGAAGGAACAAAATAACCAGCAACAGCATTCATCACAAAATGAGTTCTAATCGACATATTAATTGTTTTATAGAAAAATTCATCAACATAGTAGGGTATATGATCAATCCTTCGTCAATACATAAATCTGATACTTCTAGCATAAAAAAATAATAATCATTAATAGAGAAATTCTCGATGCAATTCCATAAAGGGGAGGTACGTGGTTGAGAAAAAGATTACTTAATCTATAAATAAACCAAAAATGTTGATCGTAGGAGTACAATTGAGAAGAATCGAAAAGAAAGAAGACCAAAAGAGAAATAAGGAAAATAAGGATTTCCTCTACTTTTGTTTCGTCCCTTATATTTTCTAATCATTAAATGTAATCCCAGTAGAACTTTCATGATTGATTTCCAATTTTTTTAATTCTTCTTCCTCCACCATGAAAGAGCTTCGTTACCCGAAACGGGCTGGGCCAAACACGAGCCTAACTTGAGAAATGGACAACAGGGGGTTCAAATGGTACAAGCCCATTAATTCAACTCAAACTTCCCATCATGAACCCAGCCCACAAACACCTTGGAGTACACATCTAGCCAATTTGTCTAAATTGTTTTTCTTTGGATCAGGTCCAATTCAATTCCCATGGGCTTTATTCATGGATAAAACAAGCTCCAAATTCTCTAAAACACTCCAGATATCAAAGGGGGAAAAGATGTTGCTTCTTTTATTGATTCATGACTTACAGAAAATGACGAACAAGTCGTGAATACTAGGTTTACATTAACATTCTCAGAGATCATGTCAGAATCTACAAGTACAAAAGTACAGGTCCTTGCACTTAAACAATGTTGGAGTTTTAGACCAATAAGGATCTACAAGTTCTTTCGTTAAGACTCGAGTAAGAAGAAAAATAATCGAAACCAACTGCAACATTCATGTAGAATGGAAACTTCATTAGGTTACTTCATAGTGAAGTTCATTTCTTGTTGTGCATATCAGTCCTTCGCCTTCAAGTGATTTAATTGATTCCCTGACAAAAGACAAATGAAGAGAAGATAAATAACTGAACTACTTGATGCCGGCAGAGAGCGAAGCAGAGGAAGGGGTTGGGGGCGTGGAGGCAAGAGATTACTTGATATTCTCCATAGGAAGTTTCAGCTGTTAGCAAAGTTCATGCATGTGCGTGCCTTCTTCCTGCTATCAAGATCCAGCAAATTTCAGTAAAAAAGGCAGAGCAATAGAAAGGTCTAGGAGAGCTGGTCAGAAGTATGTGAAGAAAGAAAATCAGTGGGGAAAATACATGGGGTAACGGGAAAATCCTAATGTCAATAAAACTCACATGCTTGAAGACTATTCCAGACAGTCAAGGACCACTTCATCGCAATCCTTCAGTCCGAGAACACTAAAGTGCTCAGATAACAACTTTAACTTGATTAAAGCATCATGACATGCTCTGGATCTGTTTCTGATTAAAAAAAAATTGCACACAGAAATGCATGTCAACCAATCTATTTGAAAACAAGAAATATCCAACTCATGCCATCAAAGTTTGCAAAAGCATCAACGAGAAGGGTTGTGGTGAAAGAACCTTCTTTATCAAAGAAAGGGATGCCTTGAGGGCTGAGATGGTATAAACAAGGCGACAACAAGGTGATTGGCAAAGTTCATAGGTGCATCCCCATTTCTGGTCCACGGCAATCAAGAACCAATTCTCAAAGTTCAGTAAAGATGCAACTAAAAAGTTCATAAAGAAAAACTGGTTGCTAAACTCACACAGAAAACTTGCCAATGTCAATAAGAAATCCATGAAAAAAGAACAACTTCATACATATTGGAAGCTTATGACATCCATACCTTGCAGAGAAAACTTACTGCTTCACGTCTCGAACAACTCTCAGGTGCCCATTATGAACATACGTTATGTCCCTATTATAAAATCAGAAATTCAGAAGCTCTCAAACGTTGAAGAGCTCATCATACTTTTAGCGGGGGAAATCAATAGGACAGAACTTTATTTTCTTCGTTTCCATTGTGTCAAAGTTCTCATATACCTGGCTAAGAATGATAAAAACGAGTCAAAACTATTTTCCACAACAAAGAAAAAACCCCAGATTTGAACTAGTAACCCTCAACAAATTTCCAGTTCATGATTTAATTTCTGGAACACAACAAAAAAGTCATGTTTTACATTTCTCTTCTCAGTTGATTTGTTTGATTTTCCTACACTTTCTGGGCAACCAATCTAGTAGCTAGAGGGATAAAATTATCTAAATAAAGAAAAAGAAAAAGAGAAGCTTTAAATTTGTTTAGTTAGCGGAACATTAAATTATTTCACTTGTACCAATCTGGTAGAGAGATAATTCTCAAAAAAGAGAGGAAAAAAAAAAGAAAAAGAAAATTGTAAGTAGAGAGAGGAGAAATAAAAGGGATTTTACCTTAGAAGTGCAATCGGCAAAACTGATGGAAATTAATTGCTGCAAAACAATTAAAAAAAATATATGATAAGAATGATATGATTTTAAAGAAACAAAATTAAGTAAGAGATTCAATTAAGAACCTTCGTTATAATAATCAAATATTGAGTAACTCAATTTCCGCAGATAGATGCAGAGCCTTCAATCATGAGCAACCCCTAATTGATAGAGAAGAGAGATTTTGCACCACATAAATAAAGACAGTGTGGAATCAAATAATAATAATAAAACAAAATTAAGGAATAGCTCAAATACCTCATATTCTATGGCCAGCTCAAATTTTCCTCCTTTACATAGCGACCGTCTTTTTGAATGTAATATTTATCAATTACAATATTTGGAATGTGTTTGATGTTAGGCCAGTACTCCACAGCCTCCTTCCCTTCTCTTAATCTTCCACTCAACTCTTCACCGCACACTTCGATAGTTAATTGTTCCAAAGAGGGAAGGTAGGGTATCCCTTGAGATTCAGATTCAGATAGAGAAATTAATTCTCTGCATTCACTGATCCGTAAACTCTGAAGAGAATGCATCCCCTGATCAGGTAGATGCAGAGCCTTCAATCTTGGGCAATCCAAAATAGATAGCTGTTGAAGAGAAGGGAGATTTTGCAGCACATCTTCTGAGAG